CTCCATTGTGTTTTCCCGAGGCTGCCAGGGCTCCCATCATCTGGCTCCAAGCCCTCTGCGGGTGCGTGCTTTTCATGACAGTGGCCTGAGAATGCCAACTGGATGTCCAAGGGCTGGGTCATGGAAGACTCAGCACAAGGTTGCTGCCCCTAGTAATGCTGCTCATTATTAATGGCCTTCATTTCCTTCCCTGCAAAACATTGCAAAGCCAAGGAGTGCCCCAGGAGAGCATATTCTGAACAAACTAGGAGTAGGGGTGTGAGGGCGATGATGACAGGGGGCTTTTCTGTGTTTTTGTGTTTAAGCAAGATGCCCAGCTGCAGCTGTGGCACTTCTTGGAATGGCAACAACTTGTTTAAAAGCCATTTCAATTTTTAAACAATGGAAAGAACCAATCTCCTTCCACCCACTCTGTCCTCACATCCTAGTCTGAGGTTACAAAAATCTGGGTCAATGCCGACTAATAAAGGGGATCAATAACCATCCAGCTATTTTCACAGCAGCCCTCATATTAATGAGAAGCTGTTCTGGATGAAGTTCTATCAAAGGAGCTGCATGGATGGTAGTCCATCACAGTAAATTGCCATGGGGCTGCTAATCATTAATGGAGTGTTCTAGGGTTGTGATCGATGCCAGGCTTCATTTGTTCCCACCTGCAGCCATACTGCCCAGGGGAGCAAACTGTTTGTTTCCCTGAGAAGGTTAAAAATACATAACATAGGCATACATAAAGAAACAAAATAGGTGCTACATGGAGAATGTGGTTTAGAAAGTTCCTGAAACTCTTTTCCTGGGCCAGTACATGGAAATCACCAGATTGCTGCTAAAGGTCATTCTCATGATCATGACTTTCCCCTTCGTCATGTTCTGCAAGCAGGGTACCTCTTTCCTGCTTGGGTTTAGAATAGCTAATGGGTACATCCTGCAACCATGATCCTATACAATTGTCCTATAAAGTCAATCACAAAGACATTACGGAAAGTGAGAGATTAATGCCTGTGGCCCCTGGGGCTACTTACTATGATTCCTGCCAACGTCTCCATCTCTTCTATGCAACCCCTTCCCTTGACATGGCCTTCTAGTTTGTTAAATAAAGCATGTGCACACGTGTGTGCATGCTAAGTCACTTCAGTTGTGTCCGACTCTTTTAACCCTATGAACTGTAGCCCATCATATTCCTCTGTTCATGAGATTCTCCAGGCAAGAATACTAGAGTGGGTTCCCATTTCCTCCTCCAGGGGATCTTCCCAAACCAGCGATAGAACCTACATTTCTTACATCTCCTGCACTGGCAGGCAGGTTCTTTACCATTAGCACCACCTGGGAAGCCTTCTCTTAAAATAGGGCCAGTGTATGTATTTTCTACCAGCTTCTTGAACACTTATTTTCAGGATTAACTCATCTTCCTTGAATCATCTTAAGCATCACTTTTTTTAGAAAACTAGCCCTCACTACCCGTATTTGGTGAGCTTCAACTATCATGTCACAGTGGACCTTGAACTTCTGTTCCTATGAACTCCTCTCATACCCACAATTGCTTGTTTACCATCTCTACCAGAATACAAGCTTTATGAAGGTAGAGAATGTTTGTGTCTTATTTACCACTCTAACCACAAAGCTTAGTTTGATGCATGGCACTGAGTAAAAACCTAAATTGAAGGAAGACAAGATCAATGGGTGAATAAAGGAAGGGAAAAAATGAATGAATATGTGCATGATTATATGAATAAATGAATGGATAAAAGCAACTAGGGGTAGATGGTTATCTACCTTCTTATCTCATTTTTTTTTCCATTTATTTTTATTAGTTGGAGGCTAATTACTTTATAACATTGCAGTGGTTTTTGTCATACATTGAAATGAATTAGCCATGGATTTACATGTATTCCCCATCCCGGTCCCCCCTCCCACCTCCCTCTCCACCCGATCCCTCTGGGTCTTCCCAGTGCACCAGGCCCGAGCACTTGTCTCATGCATCCAACCTGGGCTGGTGATCTGTTTCACCCTAGATAATATACATGTTTCGTGCTGTTCTCTTGAAACATCCCACCCTCGCCTTCTCCCAGAGTCCACAAGTCTGTTCTATACATCTGAGTCTCTTTTTCTGTTTTGCATATAGGGTTATCGTTACCATCTTTCTAAATTCCATATATATGTGTTAGTATACTGTAATGGTCTTTATCTTTCTGGCTTACTTCGCTCTGTATAATGGGCTCCAGTTTCATCCATCTCATTAGAACTGATTCAAATGAATTCTTTTTAATGGCTGAGTAATATTCCATGGTGTATATGTACCACAGCTTCCTCATCCATTCGTCTGCTGATGGGCATCTAGGCTGCTTCCATGTCCTGGCTATTATAAACAGTGCTGCGATGAACATTGGGGTGCACGTGTCTCTTTCAGATCTGGTTTCCTCAATGTGTATGCCCAGAAGTGGGATTGCTGGGTCACATGGCAGTTCTATTTCCAGCTTTTTAAGAAATCTCCACACTGGTTTCCATAGTAGCTGTACTAATTTGCATTCCCACCAACAGTGTAAGAGGGTTCCCTTTTCTCCACACCCTCTCCAGCATTTATTGCTTGTAGACTTTTGGATAGCAGCCATCCTGACTGGCGTGTAATGGTACCTCATTGTGGTTTTGATTTGCATTTCTCTGATAATGAGTGATGTTGAGCATCTTTTCATGTGTTTTTTCGCCATCTGTATGTCTTCCTTGGAGAAATGTCTGTTTAGTTCTTTGGCCCATTTTTTGATTGGGTCGTTTATTTTTCTGGAGTTGAGCTGGAGGAGTTGCTTGTATATTTTTGAGATTAATCCTTTGTCTGTTGCTTCGTTTGCTATTATTTTCTCCCAATCTGAAGGCTGTCTTTTCACCTTGCTTATAGTTTCCTTTGTTGTGCAAAAGCTTTTAAGTTTCATTAGGTCCCATTTGTTTATTTTTGCTTTTATTTCTAAAATTCTGGGATGTGGGTCATAGAGGATCCTGCTGTGATTTATGTCGGAGAGTGTTTTGCCTATGTTCTCCTCTAGGAGTTTTATAGTTTCTCGTCTTACATTTAGATCTTTAATCCATTTAGAGTTTATTTTTGTGTATGGTGTTAGAAAGTGTTCTAGTTTCATTCTTTTACAGGTGGTTGACCAGTTTTCCCAGCACCACTTGTTAAAGAGGTTGTCTTTTTTCCATTGTATATCCTTGCCTCCTTTGTCGAAGATAAGGTGACCATAGGTTCGTGGATTCATCTCTGGGCTTTCTATTCTGTTCCATTGATCTATATTTCTGTCTTTGTGCCAGTACCATACTGTCTTGATGACTGTGGCTTTGTAGTAGAGTCTGAAGTCAGGCAGGTTGATTCCTCCAGTTCCATTCTTCTTTCTCAAGGTTACTTTGGCTATTCGAGGTTTTTTGTATTTCCATACAAATTGTGAAATTATTTGTTCTAGTTCTGTGAAAAATACTGTTGGTAGTTTGATAGGGGTTGCATTGAATCTATAGATTGCTTTGGGTAGTATAGCCATTTTGACAATATTGATTCTTCCAATCCATGAACACGGTATATTTCTCCATCTGTTTGTGTCCTCTTTGATTTCTTTCATCAGTGTTTTATAGTTTTCTATGTATAGGTCTTTTGTTTCTTTAGGTAGATATACTCCTAAGTATTTTATTCTTTTTGTTGCAATGGTGAATGGTATTGTTTCCTTAATTTCTCTTTCTGTTTTCTCATTGTTAGTGTATAGGAATGCAAGAGATTTCTGTGTGTTAATTTTATATCCTGCAACTTTACTGTATTCGTTGATTAGCTCTAGTAATTTTCTGGTAGAGTCTTTAGGGTTTTCTATGTAGAGGATCATGTCATCTGCGAACAGAGAAAGTTTCACTTCTTCTTTTCCTATCTGGATTCCTTTTACTTCTTTTTCTGCCCTGATTTCTGTGGCCAACACTTCCAAAACTATGTTGAATAGTAGTGGTGAGAGTGGGCACCCTTGTCTTGTTCCTGATTTCACCTTCTTATCTCATAATCCATCCTACCTCTGTACTCATTTCACTTTTCATGATATGCTTCCTAACACCGGCTTGGAGAGCTAAGTCTTTGTAACTTTACATTTGATATATGTCCAACCTGAGAATTTGCTTGCAGCCTCAATAGGTGATTCAGTTAAAGCCTGCCCATGTTCACACTGAGGTTCTAAGATTCGTCTCCTCCTGGGAGCCACTGTTTACAAGGGATGAGGTCCACAGAGTAAGTGTCATGATTTTCCAAAACAGGAGTTAAAATGCCTTTGATATTAACATTATAGTAAATTATTCCTTTTTAATTACTCATTGCAGCAGAAGGGAGTGGAAGTACAAGCAGTGCATTTATATTTAGCATTAAAATGTAGAGAAAAGTATAAAAGACATGGGACTCACCTGTGCACCTTACATATATATAAGTATATGTAGCCCCAGGGGCCATGGGCATTATTTTTTTATCATTTTCTGTAACATCTGTAATTGACTTTATTAGGACCATTATATAGGATCACAGTTGTAGGATGTACCAATCAGCTACAGTCTCTCTCTCTCTCTCTCTCTCTCTCTCTCAGACACACACACACACACACACACACACACACACATATGTGTGCGTGCATATAAAGTTTCTACCTAGGCCATTCTGAGTCTGGCCTTCTATTCATCAGTAAGGCCCTTGTGAAAGACAGGGACTCACAGAAGAGATTCCAAAGCTAGTGTTCCTTTCACTACCAGTCCTGGGAAATGACCCAAGGTTATACTGTATGTTTTAGTCATAGGAAATCAAAACTCTTGCCTGGGTATCCTGCTGGGAGGGGAACACAGAACCCAGAATCACTGACATAAACAGAGGCCAAACCCTCAGTGGTAAGTCAGGCTGAATGCCTGCTGTCTTCCAGAAAGGGATCAAACCTTCTGCAGCCCAACAAGACAGCCTCTCCCTGTGGCTTTGTCTGGCAGGCCCCAGGGAAGTAGGTGATGAATACCTTGGGCAGCGAGTACTTGGGCAGCTTTATTTGAGCGAAGGCCTCTCTCCGGTAGGACACGTAGTAGCTGGCTCTTCCACCAGTTGTTACCTGGATCATGGGGAAACACAGAAAGGTCAGATGGGCCTACAGATCCAGTGCAAGGTGGATCTCCATCAATAACCACAGTAGGTTTGTGGCAACCTTTAAGGGAATATTCCCTGTTGCCTTTGATCCTCCAACCCCACGGCACCCTAAGTTACTCCCATGTCACAGCACTTAGACAATAAGTGAGCAATTCCAGCAGTCTTTCCCCATGGCTGGGGAAAGCATCTGGGGGAGCAGGGGCTCTCTACTTGGTCACTATGCTCTGAATTCATACACAATAAACATTTTCAACAGAAAACAGAGAAGCCATTGATATGGGCAATACTCACGATCTACATATTCTATTCTTTTTAAAAAACAGTTTTTAATCCATTGCAATGACGACATGATTATCAAAGAAACTTTTTTCTGAATCTGGATAATTACTATTGCTCAAAGCTCTTGTTACTTTGCAATTAATTTCACTTCCCATCTGAGCACATTTGTTTTCCCCTTTATTTTTACAAATCCATGCACTGAACAGATACTTGTTGATTCTTTTCATGTGCAAGTTAATTAAAGGCATCAAAAGTCAAAGAAAGAACTCTGGATTTTAAAATCAGAAATCCTAAGCCTGAATCTCAGTTCTACTAGTTCATGACTGGTGACGTCAAGGTCTGAAACCCCACTAGGGAAAAGATGGATTCTTATGGAGCCCAGAAACCAGAGCAAGAAATGGCCCTCTGGCCTGCACTTGCGGGAAAGCCTGCCAACGTGGCATAGCTCTGCAAATGGCTGTCTTGGCCCAATTACCCTAACTCAGGGGAGATTAATATTCACAGGGGAAGACAACATAGCCTGTTCAGAGAAAATAGCAGGGAGACAACAGCAACCAGGCTTCTGTGCTGAGGAGGCAATTACTGGGGGCACAGGCTCTGTGCTCACTAAGGCCCCAGCGCTTGCTGGAGACAGGCCAGTCCCCCAAATCTGGTCCAACCCTGGTGCCCATCCATAGCGGCTGCTGAGAGTGGGAGCTTGTTACATTTCTAGTGAAAGCCACCCATCACTCCTCACTCTGAGGCATGGCACCTCCTGTGGCCCCTCCTTAACCTGTGCAGACTGGAAGCCCACAGAGCAGGCACCACAAGCTGCCAGGGAGAGCAGCTGTTCCGGTCAGTGTGAGGGCAGAGCTGTGAAAAAAACCTGCTGCAAAGACTTAGGCTGGAAACCAATAGGAGAGACCAGCTTTCTGCCTGATGGTCATTGCTGCCCTCACATCTCTATTTTCTAACTAGAATCACTCTTGTCTTGTATTCCAAGAACTTTTTTTTTCTTCTTTTTCTGGGTAAGACATCTGTTCTCAATCTATGTTGTTCTTTGTCAATTTAGAGGTGGGATGTTGACAGATTAAGATCAATGAGTTGCAGAGAACTTTTTTTTTTTTCTTTTTAAAATAAATCTCAATTGCATAGAATCTGGTAAAAATGTAACCCTTGGTTCTAAACACAGTCACCATTAATCCTGGCAATTATTTGCTTCTTTAGTTTGCTATTTATTTGCTTCTTTAATTTGGTTTTACTTTAAATTGTAAACCTAACACATGCAAACATACCTGCAAACCCAAGAAGCAGATTGGTAGTTCTGAAATTTCAGGATGCACCAGAATCACCTGGAAAGCTTGTTAAAACTCAGACTGCTGGGCCCCACCCATGGAGCCTCTGGTTCAATCAGTCTGGGTGGGGTCCAAGAGTTGCCTTTTCTAATAAGTTTCCAGATGATGTTGAATGCCGCTGGTCTGGGAACCACACTTAGAGCAGCACTGAAGCAGAACTTTAATGCCAACTGACAAACAGCTCTGTGCCTCTCTGCTCCTCACCTATCTTGAACCCTGCCTCCCTCTCAGATGCAGCTACTTTCCTGAATTTTGTGTTTAGTGATGATAATTTTTTTTTAACCAAGGTGAAATTCATATAAGAGAAAATTAACCATTTAAAAGTGTACAATTCAGTGACATTTAGCATATTCACAGTGTTATATTATCACCACCTCTTATAGTTCTAAATTATTTTTATCACCCCCACAAGAAGATCATTTGCCCAGTGATAAAGCTTTTAAACCCCAGAACACATCCTCTGGTTACCTATCAAATGCTTAAAAATCAGTTCTCTATAAGACATCCTGAACCTCAGCATCCTCACCTTTAGTGAATGAGCCCAGCATCAGAAGAGGCAAATCCCAGCACTAACGCTGGCCAAAACTCAGCAACTAAAAACGCCTTTCCCCAGGAGATCCAGTCACCTCCATAGGGAGCAAGATGACAGTTCCGCCAGACTTCTCATCAGTAGCACAGAGCAAGGCCAGTGGGGTTTCCAAATTACCGAGGGTTGAAGGAAAGCAAAGTGATCCCCTTGAGAGTATGTTCAGTCCCACTGACGCTGGAACTCAGCCCAGCTATGCCTGTTATAGCCCTATTCAAGCACAGACTCCCTTTCTCTCCTCTCTCTCTCTCTCTGTTAAGCCCACACAGACCACCCAGGAGAGTTTGCACTTAAGTATATCATAAAGATGGAACTATACTTCAGAAATACCATGGAATAATCTAAAGTATTAAACGGCTGCACAAAGCCCAAGGAACGCAGAGGCTGTCTGCTACCTCTGACATCACAGCATCCCCCAGAGACACCCAGCGGGCTCCTGCAGCCCTTCCTCCATCCCAGTCATGCCACTGGCTGTACTGCAGAAGCCAGCCTGAGGCTTCACACATCATGTAAGGCCCAGGAGTCCACGGGCCTTGGTGTGGACAGCACCATTCCAACTTCTCCCTCCTCTTAATTCCTGAATTTTGTTATTTCCATTTCTACAGCACTTTCAACATTTACTCCTATGGTGTACATATACCTATAGTGATCCCTCCATGTCTTATTATAAGGTTATAACTTCTTAATTCCTAAATAATGCTGGTCTCATGGCAGGCAATCAGTGGATGCATGATGATAAAAATAATGATAAAATTGTCATCAATTGGGTTCATCTTCCATGCTCCAGAATTGCACATAACCCTTATATAAATTATCTATTAATAGTTTAACCCCACTGACAACCCTTCAGAGTCTATGGAATGACTTGCCCAAGATGAGACAAGTATGAACCTAAAGTTTGGCTCTAAACCTGCTTTCCTCCTCCTGTGACTGACAAATCCTCTGTTCATCTTATTCATGTCATCAGTTGTATTGTAATTTCAGCACTACATTTCCTTGATTCCAATGTCTTTAAAACATGTTCTTTTAAATCTCTGTAATTGACGTGTATGTATATATTTACATTCCCAGAAAATCCATCATGGCATTGATGCTACATGTCTTCTTAGAAGAGAAGAGGTAAGTTAATAAAAACAAGAAGAGCAATAATTACCATGCAGTGAAAGCTTGTAACATGGAAGATGCTACAGTAAGCAGTTTCTAAACCATACTTCATTTACCTATATACATATACACACACACACATATACATTATATTATATATTCCTGACCCATAGAGGATATAGCCTCTATGGGTCAGGAAATAGAGGCTAAGAGGTCACTAATTTGTCCAACATCATACAGCGCTTCATTGACCCAGCCATGCACAATTCCAGCCTATGCTTGAACATATAACTAGGAATGAACACATCCCCAAAAATGTCAGGCATAGGGCAGGAGGTCAGTACTTAACTAACTGAACAATGAAGTGTGATTCATTCACTTAACCGGAGAGCCTTCAGATTCGATTTTCTCTGTTGTTTAATGACTGACGTTGGCTACAGGGAAGCACCCGCCATCCTGCCCAGTCCCTGCTGGTCCCAGGGACTCACCTCCACACAGAAGCTCTAGCGCTTCCCCTGGGGAGCAGAGTCCCCCCAGCCCTGAATGATACTAGCCTAGTGCACTTGCTGCCTCTCCGCTATTATCTGTGTGGTTCTCTGGCAATCACACAAGGAAGGGATAAAGTTTAGCAACTATTAATCTATTTTGATGAACTTTTCTCTTCCTTACAAGCAAATTTGCTGGCACTGTAAATCCCAGCGATTATTACCACTTTCCCTTTCAGTGACACCTTTTATTTTACATTTGATGAATGTCATCCAATTATTTGCTCTGGGCCCATCCGTCATGCTAAACACAGAATTAGCTGGGTCTTTTCCTCACTAATGACTAGCTCGTTAATCTGGTTTTCTGGATTTCCATTTTACAGGTTTAATTGGGCTCCTGGCCAGTGAAAATGATTCCTTTGGACAAATGCATTGGCCATTAAACACATCTGTCTCTTCTGACTCGTTCTCATGCCTGCTGTAACCATGTCTAAACCGATAGATCCTTTATTTTTTCCATTTCTGCTTGCTTCTGGATGATGACTTTTCTTGGAGGAGAGAGAGAAATCTGCCCCTCAAAATTGGAACCAGAAGGCCTTGAGTCATATTGAACCTTTTTCTGTCACAGAGAGAAAACAACTTGTAATGTCTCTGGAATTCATAAGTGGACATGGCTTCTGAGAAGAGAGGTAGAAACTAACATGTTCAAATATCTATCATGTAATGAGCGCTTCAGATTCATCTTACTATTCAATATCCACAGTAAATATTACTATTACTGTTATTATTGTTAAAACCATTATTAGTACCCTTACAAGGTAAAAATATTAATAATTTTTTGAGCATTTATTATATGCCAGGCACTATTCTGTATGAATCAGCTTTCTGATTTATAATCAGGTGATGAACTGAGGCATAGGGAACTTATGCCATACGCTCAAAGACACACAGCAAGTAAATGCTGGAATTGGAATTTGAACCCAAGTTTATGTGACTGCAAACCTTATTCTGGTCCCTCAGACTATTTGGAGTTTCCATAACTCTCCGTGGAAAGGAATGAATCCTGGTCACTCAACTCCCAATTTCCCAGTTAAGACACCCACCAACAAGGCAGATCTTTCATGTCAGTTCCCTGTCCCTGAGAAATCAAGGTTCTGTTGTTGCATAGGAGTCAATG